GGGGGCGCCAATCGCACCTTTCGCCTGGGGCGCCAGCTGCTACAGCCGGCCTCAGGCCGCTCCTGCCTAGATGTCTGACTGGTAGTAAATGGAACTAACCGGAACCCCAAAGATCTGTGTGCTGAAGGAAACAGGTTATACTGAAATGAATGGGTTGTATCATCTGCCATTCCATTAGGCGCCTTCCTGGGTGAGGGGCTTTTGCCTCATTATAGAATCATAGAACACTAAAACTGGAAGGAACCGTAAGAGGTCCAGTCCCCAGCCCTCATGGCAGGACCAAGTACCGGCTAGATCATCTGCTCTTAAATATCTCCAGAGATGGGGATTCCACAACCTCCCTAGGCAATTTATTCCAGTGTTTGACCACCCTGGATTAGCAGCTGGGGAATAAAAACCTTACTGCTCCCTCCTCCTCCCCACAGATGGTTTGCTAAAATCTGAGAAGCGTCACCCTCCAGGAAAACCAAGGAACCTTGGGCAGGACTGGTATGCCAGCTAATTGTGCAGAGTCCTGGGTCTCCTGGCTTACTTCTGCAGCTGCCCAGAGCTGCATGTGGTAAGGCAATACTTCCCTAGGTGAGCTGTCAAGGATCAGGGCTTCTGTGGGACAGCGTTCAATGCCTTACAAAGAGACGGACCTTGCCTCATGGAGATGCAAAAAACCAGGGGGGAAGGCATGGGGTACCCCAGGAGCAGTGCTGCAGCCCCAGACAGCCACCTTACACCCTGGTGCATTGCCATCACCCCATGCTTTGGGGTGTTTGCCCAGCAGCTTGGTGGAGGACACTGGAATGACTCTGGGGGTCCCAATGGGTAACTCGTCTCCCCCCCCATTTCAATTCCATATCCCCCCACTGGCCAGGAGGGGTGTTATCCCCTCCCCATAACACCGATCCATGGCTCTGCCTTTTTGCTCTGACACCCATGAAAGTGTCTCTTGGATTTGTGCAATTTACAATTCTGGGGGAGGTTGTGAGCCCAACAAAAGAAATAAAAGAGGGAGACAAGCTCTCTCTGGGACCTACCAGCTCCGGGAGGGTGTAGGAGAGTTGGATTCACAGGCAGGCTTGGGGCAGGAGGCATCTTTAGCTCTGAGGGGAGAGAAATGTCTCTTCCCCCCCCCCCCCACCTCTGCTCCCATGTCAACCTCCCACACAACCACACTGCTCCGAGCCCCTAGCACACGCAGAGGAAGCCACTGTCAGCTACCGTTAGCTCCGCTGTCACCCCGCCCGCTTCAAACAGGAATCAGCTCCACCCTTGCACACTGCTGAGCAAAGCAATGCCCTGGCCAGGATCTGTACATCTCCTGCCTTGTCCATCCCTCTGTCCCCCGGGCTCCATGCACAGGTACAGGAGTTTGGCAGCATAGAGAGGGATTCATAGATTTCATTACTATACATTCTGTGAAGTGAATTCCCCCCCCCACACACACACACACACTTGCTGCTGCAGCATGGCTTTTAGAGCCCTGTTATGAGTCATCTGGCCCCAATGCAGCTAACTGGGAGCAGTCATTGGACTGAAGCCACTGTGCAGACAAAGCCTAGATCAAGACAAAGCCAAAGGAGGTGGAATCTCCCTCTCTGGAGATATTTAAGAACAGGTTAGATAGATATCTGTCAGGGATGGTGTAGACGGAGCTTGGTCCTGCCTTGAGGGTGGGGGGCTGGACTCGATGACCTCTCGAGGTCCCTTCCAGTCCT